GATCTGATAGTATCACATTTCAAGAATAAACATGGTTCCTGAAACCTTTCTGCTGTTGCATATAAATATTTATATGCATGTTGATTCATATGATGTGATATATGCATAATGTGCATAATATGTATAGGGTGCGAGTATCACTGTCACTGTTACTGTCATTCAGTTGTTCATTGGTTTACTCAAGCAGGCGCCAGTAATGTCTCCATTCATCCCAGCCCTGAGATTTTAGCAGACTCTCCTTACTCGTCTTTCCCAATGCTGTGTGAGCATATAGTGCATAGTTTTGAAACGTTGGAAAGTGATTATTTAAGAATTGGTTCCCTGATGACCAGAGATTTGAATCAGTTTTAATTTCCTAGATTTGAAAAGTAATTCTGGGAAGGACTGAGAAAGATTCTGCATAGGTTAACATTGAGTAGACACGGCTAGAACATAGAACTCCAGGTTTCTATGGAAGAGAAACCGAAGCCCTCACAGGGCCCAGTGTAACAAAGTCTGTGACTTGTACCAGCAAGGGTCTGAGCTTTGTGACAACATCTAAGAGAAGTACAGTCCACACCCACAACTGCAGCTCCTCTCAGCCCTCAGATGCCAATAACCAAGGCAACTCTTCTTTGATCTCTTTTCCTTTTTTGCAGTACCGGGTATCAAACCCAGGAGACTCTTGCCTGGGAAGCACACACAGTACTACTGAGCCACCTGCCCCCTCCTGAGAGTTTTCTTTCGGATAGGCAGACTTTATCTACTGAACATTTGTCAATCCGCACAGCAACATGTCGTAACTCAGCCCACTCCCTAATAGACAAAACATCAAATTGATTTAGGTTTATTAGTTTGCTTGGTTTGGGGGCCACACCCAAGCAGTACTCAGGGCCTGCTCCCATATCTGTGTCTGTGGGTCACTTCCAGAAGTGCTTGGGAAACCATACTGTGTGAAGGATCAAATCCAGGCCTCTTGTACCCAAAGTCTGTACTCAGTTGAGCACTTGCATCTCTCTCTCCCTCTCCCCCTTCCCCTCTCTCTCTTTCTCTTCCCCCTTGTCTCCTCCCTCTCCCTCCCCCATCTAAAACATAAAATGGAAAGCCTTGATTTTGCCTACTTTTAGTCACATTCCTCCATGTTTCCCTCCCAAGCTCCATCTTCCTTTCTCTCTCTCCAGATACAACCCCTATTGCCAGCTGATGTACATTCTCTAGTATTACTTTGTTGTTTTTTTTTTTTTTGTGATTCTAAGAATTAAACCCTGGATCTCTCACACACGCAATGCAAGTGGTCTACCTACCACTGACCTATATCTCCAACCTTCGTAATTAATATTCAAAAATGATTTTATGACCATGTGCATCCGTAAGCAATTGTTTTGTGAGATATTTTATTTTTCATTCAACTGTTAAGAATTCTGTCTCATGTAACTTTCTTCATTCATGTTTTTTCATGTATCTGGTTTTGCAAAGAGCTGTATAATACTCATCATATGGGTATTCCATAAACTTTTTATCATGTTGCCATCATTTTGAACAACTAGACAGCAAACATTCTTGGAGATGTCTCTTTGGGTTCCTATGAAAGTTTGTTCAAGAGAGAATTGGAAGTAAAATTTGCTGAGCTGCCACACCCATGTATTTTCAACTTTACTAGTTATTGCCAACCTTGTGTGCCAGGATCACCACTATTGATGGTATAGTTATGTCCTTGACCCTTCACACACCTGTCTATGAGTATATCATAAGTGAGTTTAGAGCACATGAATAGAAATCAATCTCATACTTTATAATGACTCAGTCATGACTGTATTCTGCACTGTGCCCAGAGGATGGACATTAAGGATGTTGCACTTGTTACACTATTTCCAAGAACCTGGGAAATATTCTAGAACATAACCAAGACAGATTGAGATTGTCAGATCCACCTTATTTTATAAAAGAGAAAAGGCTGAGTGCCCAAGAGCAGAGTGGAGAAGTAAACCATGAACCCCCAGCCAGCGAGAAATGCAGGGCTGAGGGCCAGGTTTCCAACAGCCTGGCTGTCACCACTCCCGAGGGCAACTGCTCTGCATAAGCAAAAGGAACGTTCCAATACACAGTGTTCACCAGACATATCGCCATCAATACCACAAGATTTGGGTTTGCAAAGAAGCACTCTGGTAGCACCAAAGTCTTGTGACAGGAAGACAGGAAGGTAGGCAGACCAGTCTTGTCCTACACCATCTGCCTCAGAAAACTGCAGGCTGACTCCTGTCCTCCTTCAGGGCACTCACATTCAAGGGAGCCACGAGCCAGACTTGCTTGCTCCAAACTGGGGCAGAGGGGAGACACAGGCTCCCAGAACTCTGGTCAGAGGTCGGAGAAAGAGGCTAAGTACCACACAGAGCCTGATGGCAAACTTGAAGAGGAGGCTGCCGTACCTTCTCAATCCAGGAAGGCAAAGAAAATTTTGAAAAGCCTGCTTCATACCTACTTCTCCCCCAACCAGCCAATTCACCTGCCTAGAATACTGGCCATAATACAGCCCCTAGACCATTTCAAAGCACTTTAATTTGAGCCTGTGCTGTGTGTTCCTGGGCACGAAGACATACACACACGGAAAATACACAATGGATGGTATTTTCAGTCTCAATGCTAACCTTTGGCATCTAAGAGGAGCTTGAATCCTGATTCAGCCTCTCATTACTTTCCTGGCCCTGGGCAAATAATTGACCATTCTAGTCTTCGAAGGGCTGGAGCGATAGCACAGCGGTTTGCCTTGCACGCAGCCAACATGGCCAACCCGAGTTCGATTCCTCCGCCCCTCTCGGAGAGCCCGGTAAGCTACCGAGAGTATCTCGCCCCCATGGCAGAGCCTGGCAAGCTCCCCGTGACGTATTCGATATGCCAGACACAGTAACAACAAAATCTCCAATGGAGACGTTACTGGGCCTGCTCGAGCAAATCTAGTCTTCGAATTCCTCATCTTTTAAAATAAAACAAGGTAGATGAACCTGTGGCTCCCTTCAAGGGTTCTGTGAGCAATGAATGAGCAGGTGCTCAGAAAACCTTTTAGTCCACAAGAAGAGCTGAGGTCAAGAGCCAGGGCATGTGACAGGACTAGCGCCTGAAGTAAAGGCAGACCTCTGGCCTGGAGGAGCTAGTAAAGGGGTGAGAATGTCAAACCGAAAGGAAGAGGCGGGCGTGGTACCCAGTCAGAGGGAGCGGCAGGCGCAGGCCACATGCCAATCCGGAGGGCATCTGAGGGTTACACGGGAGGCCTCTGAGGCAAACACGTGGGCAACAATCCTAAGCAAGGTCACACCCAACACATTGGGTCCACTCAGCGTCCTGCGACTTGGGCAAACACAGATTTACTTTAGGCATCACAGAACGGTGCCAAGTTTCAAGACAGCCCTGGTCCCTCGAGGCTCGCCCGCAGGAAAGTCTCAAAGACACAGCAGGCAGGTGGCACCTGCACACGGCCTCTCTGGCTCATACGTCTGTCCCCCTCATCCCGTGGCCTCTCTGAAGATGTCCTCAGGGACCAGGTTCGCACTCTCTCCTCTCTCCAGGCCTCAGGCTCCAGCCTCCTGGTTCTTCCCCTGCCTGCAGCAACCCCTCAGGCCTTTCTCCTCCCTTCCTGCTTCCTAGGCCCCACAGGCTCCTCATGTCTAAAATGGGGGTTGAGGAGGAGGAGAGGAGCGGGGCGGAGTGATAGTACATTTGCCTTGCATGCAACTGCCTTGCATGCAACTGACCAGGGTTTGATCCCCGGAATCCCATATGGTCTCCCTAGCACCGCCAGGAGTAATTCCTGAGTGCAGAGCCAGGACTCCTGGGCATCGTGTGACCCAAAAAGCAAAAAAAAAAAAAAAAAAAAAAAGCACTGTAGCACTGTCTTCCTGTTGTTCATTGATTTGCTCAAGCGGGCCCAGTAACGTCTCCATTGTGAGACTTGTTGTTACTGTGTTTGGCATATCAAATACGCCATGGGGGAAAAAAATAAAATTAAATTAAAAAATAAAATGGGGGGGGGGGGCTGAGGGGAAGGGGCGCGGGTGGAGGAGGGTGGATTCCATGAGACTGCGCTGAGGGAACACCCTGAAGGGCTGTTCGGTGAAAGGGCTGACACACTTGTGTTCCCTCTCTGTGGCATTCCACCTCCCACATAACTGGGGAACTGCACATCCTGTCCCAGGGCATATATAAAGGCTCTCCCCTTACATCCAGCACATCCCACTAGGGCCCCCTCTTTTGTCCTGTAAGCTGCCATGACTGCTGAAGAAGGGCACCTTTGCTCATACCCCTGAAAACTTTTCAGTTACTCCCAATGTTTCCTCTGGGGGGGGGGGGGGGGGGGCGGTGGGGGACACATTCAGCAGTGCTCAGGCTTTCATTCCCCCTGAGCCATTCTAAGAGCTCCCACAGGAACTCAAGCCCTTGAGCCATCCCCCCAATCCCCACCCCAAATGTTTCCTAAAGAAAAAAACAGCTTTGGGCGTGTCTGTAAGGCCTTGCTGTTCCAGCCCCAGTCAGTACAACCTTTCCCTCCAGCTTCAATATTCCCAGGTGCACATTCTGTGTCTGACTGAGTCTGCCTGGTCCTCGGTGTTCAATTCCTGAGCCCTTAAAGCCTCGCTGTTCACTGGGGCTCTTCAAATTCTCCCCATGTTTATTTGAACTTCTCATTTTCACGGGATTTCAAGAGACAATCTAGGACAATGTGTACCACACTGCTCCTCCAGCAAACCCATGGAATGTACCAGTCGGACGATCCAGGCAGTAAATGCTATGGTCGGTGGCTTATGGCTGTCTTATGCAATGGAAGCTGTTCGTCGTCATCCCTGTGTGCTCTCTGAGGTGCCAGAAAATCCCAAAATGAGCAAAATTGTCTTTTCGACTACAGTAGATGGGAAACAAAGGGCTTCTGAGGCTCGGGAAGCAAAGACACATCATTCTGTGGGGCCCTGAGTAAAGCTACCCAAGTTTCTCTCAGCACCACAGGGGAGACCCTAGAGATGGCCCTCAGATACCTGTCCCATCTGGAGTCGACCGCACAAAGGTGGGAAGCATTTTGACAGAAGCCGTGGGGTGGGTGGTAGCTCCAAGCCCTTTCTCCATTTCCTTGCGGAATCGCTTCGAGATCTCCTGCAGGGTCTCATCTGACAGACGCATGTGGTAGAGATACTGGTCAACCTGAGAGAGGAAGAGAAAGAGCAACTTAAGGTCAAATAGATATGATGTACACGTGTCTGTCATGGAAGGTCACTCAGGTCTTCTAAGAATACAAATTCTAAAGTCTCTACTTGAAAGACCATTGAGTAGAGAAATCTCTTTGAAAGAATTTTGCCTTAAAAATTAGATAACTGGGCTGTAGCTATAGTACATCGGGTAGGGCTGTACTACGCAGCCTACCCGGCTTCAATCCCCAGCATCCCATGTGGTCTCCCGAGCACCGTCAGGAGTAATTACTGAGTGCAGAGCCAGGAGTAACCCCTGAGCACTGCCAGACGTGACCCAAAAAGAAAAAAAAAATAGATAACTAGGTTTTATTTCATTTCTGGACCATAGTGAAGACCAGCAAGAAGGCATATTTGAGAAGAGGAGTGTTCTCTTCAGAAAGAGTGAATTTCAGGCATGGGAGAGAGGTCGGAGGGCTAGTGCACATACTTAGTTTGCAGGAGCCCCTAAATAAATCCCCAGAATCATCTGAACCCCCTAAGTCAGAAGAAACCCCCAGCACTGACAGGTATAATTCAAAAAACAAACCAAAAAATAAACTCCCAAGACTCAGAAAAGTTGACATCCTATATCTGTGACAATATCCCTAGGACCTCATATTTTGCTCCTCACCCACTCCCCAAGGCCAGCCATTTCAATACAATAAAAGCACCTGTCAGCTTCAACACCACCATCTCTTGTCTGGACTTGGACAATTCCCAAGTGATCTATCATGAGTCCACCCACCATCTTCCATCTTCCTCTGCGTAAAACCTTCCTCTGGCTTCCCAGTAGAGCCAAACCTAACATCCTTCCAAGGCCGAGTATATCTGCCTCTGCCCAACCTCTCTTCTCATGGCATTTCTTGTACAAACACTCTCCCTGGTTCGGGTCCCAGTTCTTCCCTGTCTCAGAGCTGATCAGGCTCCTCCTCATCCGACAATCTCTTAGCAACCTCCAGGCCTCCCTCCTCGGATCCTCCTGAGAAAACACGTCAGGCTACTCTGCGCATCTAAGCAGTCAGACTTTTCCCTTCACCCAACACCATCCACGATTCGGAAAGAAAACTTTAGGTGTCCAAGTCCTAAGTCCTACAGACAAGAAGGAACCTGCTCGTTCATCCTGCATCCGGGTAGCCTGGGGCATCCCGACACAGAACAGAGGCGCTGGCATCACAGTGGTGCAAGCCTACCCGGCTAAAGGGCACTGAAGCCCTCACTAGTTACTTCATGGATGATCTTCCTGTAGCACTGTACCACTGTCCTCCCGTTGTTCATCAATTTGCTCGAGCAGGCACCAGTAACGTCTCCATTGTAAGGCTTGTTGTTACTGTTTCTGGAATATCGAATACACCACAGGGACCTTGCCAGGCTCTGCCGTGTGGGCAGGATACTCTCAGTAGCTTGCCGGACTCTCCGAGAGGACGGAGGAATCGAACCTGGCTCGGCTGTGTGCAAGACAAACACCCTACCTGCTGTGCTTCCTAGCAGACACTTATGTGACCACTTTCTAAGCTTGACACCAGGAGGAGAAAGTTTCAAGAGTCCCTCTCGGTTTCGCTCTTGAAATCTCCTGTCTGTCCTGTCATGAATACTCTTTGTTTTCTCCTATCAGGGCTGGAGCAATAGCACAGCAGGTAGGGCATTTGCCTTACACGGGCAACATGGCTGACCCTGGTTTGATTCCTCCGCCCCATCAGAGAGCCTGGCAAGCTATCGAGAGTATCTCGCCCTCATGGCAAAGCCTGGCAAGCTACCCATGACGTATTCGATATGTCAAACACAGTAACAATGAGTCTCACAATGGAGACGTTACTGGGCCCACTCGAGCAAATCGAACAACAGGAGGACAGTGCTACAGTGCTCCTATCAGGAAAAGAAGTCTAATAGAAATCTACCCAAGGTGACACTCAGTCTCCTCAATGTCCCTGAACTCGGTAGCAGTTTCCAGTGGACAGCTGCAGAATCAGGTCCTCCCAGCCTCCAAAGCCAACAGGGACAAAGGACCCTGCTCTTTCTGCTCCAAACCTCCAAGAAACTCCACGCTTGCTAATGGCAGTGGGACACTGAAGCCATCAGTCCTGTCACTGCAGAGATGCACAGGAAAAAAACGCCCACCTAACCCTGCCCCAGCAGGGCCCCAGTCAATGTGCACCCCCTCTCCCCCAGCAACAGCCTATTTTGTCTTCCAGCACTTTTGTAGAAATCAGGCATAAGCAAGGTAAAGGAGTGAATCCCCTGCTCTTCCTCACAGTTTCCATATGGTTCCACAGAACAAAATTCACCAACACATCTTCCCAAGGGGCAGGAAGGAGAGACAGAGCAGGAGCAGAGAACTGGTGAGAGCCCTGGGCTGCTCTCCTCTTCCCCCTTCTTCAAGAGAATTAGGTTGTCAAGCTGAGATTCAACTTTGCAGAAGTGGAGAATCCCCTGCATTCACTTATCACCAACATTTATTAAAGAGCTACCATGAGGGCCAGCAATAGTGCAGGGGTTAAGGCACTTGCCTTGCATGTAGCTTACCCCAGTTCAGTCCCTGGCACAGCATGGTACCCAAGCACCAACAGGAGCAACCCCCTGAAGATAGAGGCAGGAATAGCATCCCAGCACTGCTGGGTGTGACCCAAAAATAAAATATATGCAAGCATGCATAAAAACATACATAAAATAAAATACAGATCTATCATAGGTTATCTAAATTCATAGTTCTAATCAGAAAAAGAATCTAGCCAACCATCCACTGTAATTTCTCATTTCAGGCTCCTGGAATCTCAGTTGCCCAACGCCTGGGCCCAATGCCTGCCTTCATCTCCCCCTGGCACTTCTGTCCTCTTCCCCTAGTCACGCTACTTATTTGGAAATCATATAAAACTTGCAGCCAGAGTGCTACTGAGGACACCTGTCCAACCACACAAGACACATGATGCTCCCCAGAAGGTAAAAGGGTACAGCCTCAGGCAAGACCATCCCAGTAGGTGCAGTGATAGTCACATGGCTGATCTCTCAGAACCCAAAGTCTATAGATCCAGGTGAAATCCAGGTCTTATTCTAGAGCCAAAGGCACCTGCGTAGGCCTAGGAAAATCATCGCCTCATTTATGCATCTGGGTGCTAAAATGGACCAGGGCCTCTTGACCACAGGCAATACCAGGCATGGATGGGAATAATCCAAGATCCCCTCCTGGATGGTGGCAGCAACAAAGAGTCCTAAGGAGGTACAACCATGCTTCCAACGTTTTACACCCTCTAACTCACTCTTCGTAGGAGCCCTGGGAGGGCAGGGGTATTGTTACCCCCATGAGACCAAGAGAGAACCCACAAAAGGCCTGGTTCAAGCCAGGACAGGGCTTGGCTATGCCTCTCTGCTGTTGGATGGCAGTGGGTCTATACCCGCTGAACAGCACCTTGGCACATCCAAGCTGACTGTGGCCAGTTAAAAAGTTGTTTTCTATATGAAGGACAACTGGCAGAGGGGCAAGATGGAGGCCAGGTAGCCAGAGAGCCTGGCGGGCTGCCTTGCTGAGAGATCCTAAGTCCCCACTGGGAATGTGAGAGGCTCTCCAAAGGAGCAAAGGCGGGTGGCTGCCATTCTGCAGGGGCCATTCCTGATTTAACTGCAACGTCTCAGCTGCCATAGGCTCGTGAAAATCCAGGTGACAGGTCTCATCCTTAATTCTCAGAGATTCCACCAAGTTAGACTCCACCTTTACTTTACGAACTAGCTTATGATCATATTTCAGCGGTCAATGGCAGGTGAAAATGATGAAGTTGATAGTTATAGAAGCTAAACATTAACCACCCCAGACACCACCTTTCTGGCTTTTTTGACTTGGCCTCTGCTGCTCCTTTGCAAAACTTCCACAACCCTATTTTCAGATCAGAGTTAGGATTCAAACAGAGATTGGATGCTAATGCCTGGCTCTAGAATCCTTTTTCTTACTTGTCTTATGGGCAGTTGTTCTCTACCCTCTGGTTTCCTAGATGATCCCAGGGCCCGTCTTTCCTCTCCATCATGTGAGAAAGACTAATGGAACCACTGGGACAAATGCAAGTGTAGTAACCTGGGCCCAATTCCCTCCTTCACAGCACAATGTGTTTATTAGGATGACAAATTACTTAATGCCATAGATTTCTAAGCACATCCATGGGACACACCCAGCCTTGGTTGGTGCCCCTTAGTTAAGGGTGGGTAAAGGCTGACCAAGGATGGTAAAAGGTAGGAACAAAAAGCAGCTTCCATAAAAAGATGGCTACCCTTGGGTCAGAGATAATACAACTGGTAGGTGCTTGCCTTCCAAGCAGCTGACCCGGGTTCGATTCCTGGCATCCCATCTGGTCCCCTGAGTACTGCAAGGAGTAATTCCTGAGTGCACAGTCAGGAGTAACCCCTGAGCACTGACAGGTATGATCCCAAAACAATAAAAAGCAAACAAATAAACAATAATAGCAACAACCAAAAAATGGCTGCCCTGAATTAGGGCATGTATGCACACACTTGGTAATATCCTGCCAACTCACACCCACAGTGCTGCCAGAGGGAGGGAGCCAGGGGCTCAGAGTCATGGGAGAAAGTCATTTAGGAGATAGCATGCACACTTGGCTGAAACTCACTCACTCTTGGAAAGACCCTTGAGGGAATGAGTTCAAACTCCCACCAATCAGATACAGCATTTGAATTTGTCTTCTTCCACCCCAGTGGACATCTGACCTAAAGTTTCGAAGCACCCAAAAATGACACACTCTCTACTTCTCTAAATTGGCTAACATCTGTCATCTGCTCAGCTTAAATTGCTGGAAACCTTTTCCTCTATCTGAAGCAAAGCCATTTTCTGATAATTTCTTGCTAGTCTTCATTCATGCAGAGCTCCGGCAGCCGAAGATCTCCAGAACCAGCCACCACCATGCTGAGACCACTCTCCACATGCATGAAAGTACCGGCAGAGGAACAAAGGCATGCGGGTCCCAGGGCTGAGATCTC